TCAACGCAAATCGCATTTGATCAACAGTTGTTGATGCTGTGTACATTATGCACGGATATAATAACTTTTGATACAATTAGTACGTTGCCTTTTTTTGTGCGCCAAGTAAAAAAGAAACTAGAAGATAGAGAAATTATCTTTGAGAAAAGTGCAATTAAACACTACTAAATTTATTTAAAAAATTATAAATTAGGATATAATAATTAAAACTTGTAAGAAGTCACTTTTTCAAAAAAGTTATTTTAATTTTAAATTATTTTAATTTTAAATCTTTAAAAAGAAAATTTTAAATAAATTGTGAAAAAAGTTTGATAGTACATGCAAACTATCTATTAAATGTATTTTTATTTTTTTCTAATATTATTTATTTGTACATAAACTAATTTGTTCTCAGTTGAATCATTATAATAATCTTACAGTGATATTCTTGAAGCTTCCACGGGTGCTTTCTATATAAAGATTATGCGTTTCGCGGGTTTTTTCCGTGTCCAGATTCATTCTGGAAATGCCAACATTTTGTAAACCTTGCAGTCTACTTCATCAGGCCGAGAAGCAGCCTGATACTGAGTTGTTCCTCCGGGCAGTTTTCTTTATATTACACTGCTTGTTGGAGCGGGAGGGAGGGATAATCTTATAGTGAATTAATTCTAATTATTCTTTGTAATCTTGTTTTTTAAGTATAAGTATAAGAAACGACAAATGAATTCAAATAATGTCTACCAAAAATTTAAAGAATGTGAAAAATATTATACGTATCTTTATAATATTTTTCATATTTTCTAGAATGTGGAAAAGCATACATGAACGAAGTGCATAATAAATTAGAACAAATTAATTTTTAATATATGTTCCTGAACTAACATTAATGTCTTTCAAAGTTTGAAGAATCAACTTACGAGCATTGATGCTAATGATCAGCAACGCTAGGAACTTAAGAGACACTTGAAAAATTGATGTCGACATTATCGACGAATTAATCAATTTCGTTATTATTAACCGAATACTAAAAGATGATCACAGCACACTTTAACAATGAAGACTCGTTCGGATCCGTCAACTCCTTCTGTTTTATGGCTGCTTTGCCGCAGATCAGAACATCTACTGACGATAATATCCATGATAGAGTGACCAGAGCCAGGGTCAACAACTGTCCCCACCATCGCTGTCAACAAGCTTCGCCAAGCTAATTACCAGGAGCGGATTGGTCGGAAAAAATTCCTATTTCTATAATCTGTAGTTAAAACCACAGACGTTTTTTGAGAAATAAAAGGAATTAAAGGAGCAAAACTTTTCCCTGTACCTATATTTTGAGTAAATTTTCGGTATAAAATTCTGTATTCTATTCTGTTAATTCTGTAGTAGATTCTGTTAATCATATATAAATATACGTTGAGCTATAATATATTATTTGATCTAATATATAGCTCAACAATATTAATATGTCACTGTGATATCAAAATTGACATACGATGCATATCACACACACACACAGTTTCATATTAATACTTACAAACATTACACTGATCCTTGCAATCTCCGATCTATTGGGATTTTCCCTGTAAATTCCAATACATTCCTAATTTAACTAGTGGTAACTTTCTTTCCTCGTTATTCACTTTCTTATCAACGTTATATTTTTTAATATAAATTTATCGTAAATGATTAGATTTATTTTGCATATATAATTTTGTATAATTTAACAAATAGAATATGTATATACTTGTAATATTTACATAAACAATTTATTCCAGTTACGCAGTTCAGTTTATCGTAAATCTGACATAATGAAATAATGCTTTTTTTTAGAGAGAGAAAATCCTAGATTCCTGAAAGATGTAAATGCTCTTCTCTTTGGAATGATCCTATTGCAGAAGTTTCCTCCTTCCTTTCGCAAAATATGTATTACATAAAAATTATCCTAGGGGATTAATAGTTTCAAGAAGGTGTTTTGATGTCACCAATCTCGCCAAAAAAGAAATTGAGCGTGAAGAATTGGTCTTATAATTGTGAATTGTGAAATTAATGTAAACAAATGGTATAAGCATGTCTTTATCTCAGTAACCTTATACCTTACGTTACTAATAGCTGACAACAGATCGATTATCTTAATATGCGCATTATCTATTCATATGTAATTAAAACATATAATAGCGTAATACACAGATCGTATCTTATATGCACTGACTTGCAAAAGTATTCGAAGTATCTTGCAGCATATGCATTAATTTATAAATTGAATGAAACAGTAATTATGCAAGATTTGCCTTGTTCCTGCAATAGTTCATGTGATCTAAATCACTTATCCCAGCAAACACCAAGTTACATGCAACGTACATATAATTTCCCATTCAACAATATAGCTGTAACATAACACACAATATTACAGTTAATTGTTAAATATAATAAGAAATTACAACCAACACCAATTTAAGTTACATTATATGTAACTTAAATTGGTGTTTGCTGGGATTCTAAATATACACCGTAAAAAAAAGAAATGCTCTATTATGTATTCTAAAAATTTGCGGAAGAAATTGTTTCCATTTTATATTTAATTGTTGCAGTTGTGAGTAATTTCAAACGCATTGACGTGCTTCCGCAAAGTGATTCATGTAGATTCCTCGATGAACGTGGAGAAAAACAGCTCGATGATGTTACGTATTTAACTGACGCAATTTAGATCTGACAATGCAAAATGGGAACACCCTGATTTCTCTAAGTGTTTTGTAATACGTTATATACTAAACACTTGCAGTATATATATATATATATATATGTATATCATAATGCATCTCATATATGACACATGAATTTCGTGAAAAGATCGGAAGTTGCGGTCGCATTTCCAAGAAGATCGCAATATTCGATTTTAATAAGTTCGCTCGAGTAAATTAAGAAATACGTTTTAGATCTAATAAAAATTCTAATCGTAGATTAGACTTAAATTAATTCAACGTGTCCTTGTTAATTAGTTTCATGAACAATAAACTGTGCTCGAAGAGATGGAGGAAATCCTACGAGATTAAAAACTTCCTACTAGATCTGATTTTTTAAATCGGCTTTACTAGATAATTACTTCCAGTAGTAAGATAGTAAGCACGTCAATGCGTTTGTAAGATAGGAAAATTCTGCGATTCTGTTTGAGTTTCCACTGAAAGATCTTTATTTTTACAACTTTGTTCCTTTCAGTTATAAATGATTTTTAATATAATAATACGTTTAATATGTATTTATTACAGATTTATTTATTTTTGAGAATGTTAATGACAAGCATTTTTATCACAATTGCAAGATTCAGATTTAAATTATTCCAGATAAAAAAATATCGATTGCGTATCTAAATAAAGTTAAACGCGAAGTTTTCCGCCAAGTAGGCAATGAATTTGTTTTCTACAGATAGAGCTGGACACTTTTACGGATGTATGGTGTTCAAGATCCATGTAGTGTACGCCGCAACCCTGCTGTAGACAGCAGGTGTTTTGGAAGCGCCACAGGATTTTGCGCCGAAAGAAACGATGCCGACGAAGTAATATTTAGGAGGCCCATTCAGGCTGTTAACTTGCATCAGAGGTCCACCACTGTCACCACCACAGGAATCGTGACCAGGAACGCCACCCACGCACATCTGCTGATCCTCCGATACTTCTGCATATCTCTTGAAAGCTATCACACATCCGTCCATCTCGACGATCGGCAGCTTGACAGTCTGCAGGATCATGCTAGGTTTCGGGTCATCTATTGATAATAAGACGCTTTGTAAATTTTTAGGAGATTATTAAAACGTGTAAATTCAAAATTTAAACAAAGGTATGAAGGTAAATATGAGACCAATCGGTTTAACGTGAATTTAAAAACTGTTAGATATTTTTCAGAAAACAATTAATTTAATCTACTTAGGAGTTTTTCCAACTATCTTTACAATGAAAATTCTTATTTTAAAATAAATTTTATGATATGTAAAAAAAAGTATGAAAAAATATAAAGTTTAATTTAAACTTATTAGCTTAGATTAATTTAAATGTCTTACTGATATCAAAAATTCCCCAACCGGCGACCTCCGCTGTTTCGCCGACGAAGTTCTTACTGAGGAGTTCACCGTTCACCATGCAAATCGGCTTTACGTGTTCTGTGTATAAATCGTAAAAAACGAGAAGCAGATTTACTTACGAGAATCAAAGTTGAGTCGATTGAAATTGATTAATGAAGATTAATCGATTTACAAACTCACCGTTATAAATCACCGGTTTGTTCAATCGTATTATGGCTATGTCATTTTTATATTCCGGCTTGTTATAACTCTCGTGGACAATTACCGATTCGGGCAGGAAATCTTGCACTGACTCCGCACAATATCCTTGCTCACAATCGGGATCAGTGAGGATGTTGTGTTCGCCCAAACGAACTCCACCAACCTTGAAACTTAGAGATATCTCCATATTTATTAAACAATACGAAGTCACATTCCATACAGCATTATAGAATTTACAACAATATCACTGCAAAATCTTTGTAATACTACAACATGCAACGTTGCTGCAATGTTGCAGCAGTGTTACTGCAACTTTTATGCAACTTTGTACTGTAGGGGATATATATAAATTACAGAAATATAAATTCTTAATTAAGATTAAAAATTCTCAAATAATCTGGAGCGTCTCTCCGATATTTCTATTTTAAACAGACTAATAAACACAGAAATTGTCGTACAATTTGCAAATTAATACAGTTTAATCAAGACATGCTTATTTCATTTCTTCTCACCTCAAAGACTAAAAATAATTATTTTCGATCGAACGCTTGTACTTGGTAAAATACATGGCAAAAGTCTCGTTTTTTTTTTCTTTTCCTTTTAATAATATTTTTTTATATTTATTTATTCTGTACGTACTTTTCAGGTAGATTCACTACGCAATGGGCAGCCGTGACTACGTATCGTCGACTAATTATTGTACCGCCGCATCTGTAGCTTAAGTCATTAGCATTCGGCATGCTGTATCCTATTCTCGCGATCCAAGGATACGCGCCGAGGCTGGCATTTTTACCACCAATAATGCGATCGCTGTTGGAATTACCGCAATTATTTTGCTCCAATAACGACCAGCTAGGATGTTTTCTTACATCGACTACAAACCGTTAAATTTATTATAACGTCATACGCTTTTAACAGGAACTATACTTAATAAAATTTCTTGATAAAAATCTTTTCGTTGCCATAGATTTGCTATAAATCATATATAATTTAAAAATAATAATTTGATTTTTTACTTATTTAAAATATTTTTGGAAAATTATTATGACTTTCTTATACATATAATTTATAAATTTATATTTAACATTAAAAGCGATATATTTGAATTTTTTACAGATTGTGTCCGAAGAAATTCAGTTTAAGTATTTTACTTTAAAAATTTAAACTACTTTTATTCATATAATGTATAAATCAATTTATATTGCGTCGACTCATGCATTCAGTTCTGATATTTTTAATTATAGAAAACTTACTTGTGGAGAATGCTGTATTGCATGAAAGTACAAGCATACAAAGTAGTGAGTATCGCATCCTGCCTGAAAGCTGGAAAACAAGTGAACAAGCAATTAAGTGAGAACTAATTTTATGATTATGTGATTTTATAAAGTTATTTTTTTCGTTAATTTTCATACAATCTTTTACATAACTTTACTACATCGATGTAGTTTTTATATTCTTTATATCCTTTTGTCAATACAATATTTTAGAATCTCTCTTCTTACTGTAAATTGCATTATGCACAAGCTATGCACTAAAATCCTCGTTCCTCATCGAGTGTTCTATTCGAACTACGTTCGGTATCGCTTAATTCGTTAACCTTCTACGTGTTCACCACCTTATCTCTACCGTGCAAATTGCATGACGGCTTAGCCGATTGATCTTTATAATCCATTCACTGCAACTGTGACATATACCTATGATATTAACTATTCTGATTATCCATTGCGGGCTTGAAGTATACTCCAAAGATGCCCATATTTTTTCTGGATGTTTATTGATTTATTATATTTCTTTTACGAAATGTAAAGTAAAAATTGTTATATTTCTTACAAAAAGTACGTCATAATTTGATTTTTTATAATCAAACTTACTATAGTACTAATAATTTTTAAATCAATTGCAAAACAAAACACTCAAGTTAATTTCGAAGACAAGAGATAATAAAAATTTATTCATCTTACAAATTGAAAGGACAAATATCTTGTAAGTGCATAGCAATTCAATGCCTCGATCATATATATTTTATGGCAATAAAAGATTTATATAATAAAACTGCCACGGAGTAAAAGATTATTAGATAGCAACAGGCAATGTTAAATTCTTCGCAATTATTATTTCTATACTTATCAGAAATAAATTTTAAAAAAACGCGAGAATTTAAAAGAAATATATAAAAAATGCAATTTTTCATAAGAGTCAAATAACTTTTTGAAAGCTAGAAAGATATCAATATCTCGGAAGACTAAATAAAATAAGATATCCAAGTCTAGGGAAGGTAACAAGTATCTCACTTACATTTCGTTTTGCAATTCGCTGCTATTTATTTTCTTAAAAATAATAATTACAAAAGGACGCCGTAGATAATATTTAGAATTAAGTATTACGCAAACTTCGCAATCATTTCAAGGGAGAATCTCCCTTCAATCTATGTACAGCTCGTAGGAACATTATCGTACAATATTTCTCTGTCGGCGGGAAGTGAACCTGAACCGAGGAACACTTCTAGACTGAGAAACAGTTTTAGATGAACCCTTCCCTCAGTCCCCCTGCGATATTGGAGAGCCGCGATCGCGTTTCGACGAGGCCTTCCCTTTGCCCTTGGATTTGGTCTCTCGTTTCCGGCTGATCGACGAGGTTGACGTGGTCGAGGCAGAGTCGGCTGGACTAGAGTGACTGGAACCCTCCCGGTCCCACCTCGTCAACGTGTCTCGCAGATTTTGGCCGTCGTTCTCCTCGTACGTATCCACGTCAACATGCAGATTGTCCTGACCGTTGGACTCCAGATTGGCGCGTATCTCCCTGCGCTGTTCGTCGGTATGCTGGGGACATCGTACTGATCTGGTACACAGCTTCTTCGTGTGCTCAGACACGACGCCGCAGATTTGCGTGAGCAGCGCCCGCTTGTCCACGAGCGACATATTCTCGTAATTCGATGGCGAGCTTTCGTTGCTGCTGTGCACGTTGTGTTCGCTGCCGACGACATTGGTGGTCTCGCCGTTCCTCTGCGAGCCGCTGCCGCCAGCCGCGCCCTGTTGCTTTTGCTGCTTGCTGGAACGCTTGCTAACACCATTGCGATCCTTGCGTGGGCGTTTACGCTTGTTGCCGCTATCGTTGGTCAGGCTCCAGTCAACGTCATCATCGTCGTCGCTCAATACTCCGCCGTAGTTGTTAAGGTCCTTGGAATTGTTCGCGATACGAAGTGATGCAATACGCGAACTGTTCCTCCCCATGCCCATACATTTTGCTAAATGAGTAGCGAATCTACAAGCTGCCACACCACGTTCGCAATTTGGACAGTTGCATTCCTGAGATTTCTTCATTGGATGCTGACCGAACACGTCTAGGCCGGGCGAATCTAATACAGAAAATGGAAGTTATAAAATTGTACAAAGAATAAAACAAAATTATAAAAGTTATATACATTATATAGATTTAGAAATTTTCCATCTTCCCAAGCATTTGAAACTCTCCCTGCCCACACAACATGAAATATTTTAGAAATATTTCCAAAATATTTCGTTGCAAGATTTGAAATATTTCAGAAATTTTTCAAGAAATCTTTTTGAACTATATGTTCAGGAAATCCGAGTTTTTGAAATATCCTTTTTCTTACAATATTTGTACAGTATTTCTAAAATATTTTACTGAAATGTTTAGAAAATGTTTTACATAAATATTTTACTCCTTGCGGGTGATCACTGAAAGTTTGTTATGTTTGTAAGTACCGACAATGGCGTAGGATTTATCATCGGGAATGCCTTCTTCGACGTCGGAATTGCCAGTCTTGGTTATACGGTGTATGTCGAATACGAAACCCATCAGAACGTCATCCAACAAGTCTTCGTAAATTTCCTTTGTGGCTGCTTCAACATTCTCTGGCTTGCTCATGAAATCCACGAAACGTCGATTCAAGTCCTGCATCCTTTCCTCAGTCACAGACATACTGAATTTGTGATTGAGCAATTTGTTTCTATCTAGACTAAATATAGAAAAATATAAGGACAATTAGCGACTGATTAATCAAGGTATCAATTCCACTAGTTTTTGATGGCTTGTTAAGATAACTTAGAAATATTAAAATTTGCAAAAATTAACAGTAAATTAATGAGTTTGTAAAAATAATCATGCATTCAAAATTCAGTTTTTTAAATATGTATATACAAAATTTCAAAAATATGACAACAAAAAACCTAATCCTTTCTAAATTTAATAAATAATTATGATAAATAATCAATAATAAAATAGATAATAAATAAATAAATAAAATTAATTCTTCCCGCGGAAGATTTAATAACGAAATTCAGAGCGTCAGTCGTGGGAACATCGGTAAAATATTTGCCGATACTTGCGGGACACCCGGTATAGCACAGACAGGGTTCTAACCTAAAAAGGGAGAAACGGCAACAAATTGGCGACGTGGGGCAATCCAGGGTGAGCACCGTCGGGACGAGATGGCGGAGCAACCGGATGTTTTTCGTTCTTCCGGTTCTCCGCGAAGAAGACGTGCGGAGCGCCGTCACCGCCGATATCCGACGCCGCTCCGTTGGCTCTTGGTTACGGACGACACCTGCGCGACGACATGCGCGTCCAGTCGTCACGTGTTCCTCGTCGCGTCGCCCGTCGACCGTCGACGGAATGACGGATGCGGAGCGTCGGAAGACGCGAGCAATGACGGCACGAAGGAACGCTCCCTTCGCGCGGCGATTTCTGCCCGCAGCTTTATATATAGGTTGGAGAAAAACCCTTCGGTCTCTCTCCCTTTCGCGAAGAAAACAACGCTCAATTGGCGATTGCTGCTGATTGCTGCGCGTTGAGTCGCAGACGCACCCTCGGTGCAGACGCACCTTTCCGATTTCTTTCCTACTGCGAAACGCTCCTTCTAGGAAAATGCGAGTAGGGGAACAGATAAATATCTAATTAATTCTATATAATTATATCCGATCGTTATCTCATTATTCAACAGCATTGATTGCACTTCTTGGACCCGTTATAAGGATCGTAAATCGTGCGATGAAAAGGCGGAGCAGAGCGGAGGAACTTCGAGCCACGTGGCCGTGTTTTCTTACTCCGAAACGGAATGAATAACGTCCGGAGCTATGCTGAGAAAAAAAGAGGAGGAAGGCAATAATTGGCGATTCGTTTCGAAATGTATTGAAAAATAATTGAAAATTTGTAATTTCAACGTGAAATGTAGATTAATATAGATACTAATATAGATATCTATATCTATATTATGTAGGTATTATATGTTAATAATTATTTATTATTGTTACATTATAGATATTTATTTTTAGTACATTTTGGCACGCGCTTTTGGACTCGAGATCGTCGAGCATGTCGATTGGCCGTCGATTTGGGAGTTCTAGGAACTTCAAATGATCTCACATCCCACAGCCAATCCGCAGCCATATTTGGCAACTTCTCGCGAGATGCGATTTCGTGACAAATTAACCAACTTTCTCTTTTTGAAACGCATCTATATTCTAATGTATGTACATAAATAGAGAAATATTTGTCGCGTTGCATGCTCCAACATGCTCCAACATGTTCCTGCCATAGTTCCTACTCACTTTAATGAATACATTGGAGTAAGTAGGAGCTATGAGGTTTGTTCGCGTCGCATGCTCCAACATGTTCCAACATACTCCTACCATAGCTCCTACTCACTCTATCAAGCGCGTTGGAGCGAGTAGGAGCTATGGTAGGAGCATATTGGAACATATCGGAGCATGCGACGCGAACAAACCCATGATAGGAGCATGCGACGCGACAAACCTCTTTACAGAAACACGTGAATGATTCAAAGGCTGCATTCAACAGAACACAATAGTTTTGCAACCGTTTCATGATTGTCTGCTGAGATAGGATCATTCTTCTAGATTTAAAAATATAATCCAATCAGTGCGAAGAAAACTTCCAACAGTTGCAAGATAAACGTTCTACTGGAAGCAACCAAAGTTAAAGCGAGTAAATCGTATTTTCAAGCATTGTTGACTCTGCAAAGTTTTTAAATTCAGAAAAGTATCCAGAGGTATATCCTTTTTTCTTTAAAATATACGTTTAACCTTTAAAGGCTATACAGGCTATAAAATACAATGAATTTTTAGGAATTCTGTAAGAATATCTAAGTTTGGAAATACATCCGTCCTAATTAACGTAATGGCACGAAATAGGAAATTCGCAAAATTTTACACGTCGTATTATTGCATGTAAAGGACGATTCCTAGAAGCAGATATTTCCTGTTTGTGTTTTCTCTCGGAGGAAGGTAGATTTGAGCACCACTGAAGTCATGTATAGGAGACCCAAATGACCCAATAGCGAACGAGCAGGCTAGAAGCAACAAATTGTTGTTGCCGTGGTGGGAATATTACACCACCATGCTTGTCCGTTCGGATGGTTCAGAGGTTTTTGCTCTGACAAACTGATTTCCATCACTAATTGATCGTCGCCGAGGAGGATCGTTCCTCATCTTCAGCGACGACGTGACGCAGACAAGATCGCTTGAGAGAGAGAACACGAAAAACAGCGGACGTATGGAAGGTAGTGACGCGCCCCTTGACGTAGGCCATTTTACGTAGCATCGGGACTGATGAAAGGGCCTGTTCCTTCAGGGGCAAACGCATTCACTCGCTCTCCCTTTTCACGTATTCATTTGAACGGATCTCAATCGAAAGCACAAGGTTGGCCTTATGATCAGATATTATCTCTTGGGTATGAGTGACTGATATTCAAAATGTTGCTTATTGCTTGCAGATGTTCTTAATGTGGAATGAAAGCAGAGAGTAAGAATAGACTGGTTTATCTAAAGGAAAAATCTCTCATACAATTGAATAAGAAAATTGGAGATAGAAATTATTACGTGACACAATGGCAAATGGAATAGAGAAGATAGGTGAGTAAAATTGATTTAGATTTCTCTTTATTAATGCGAGATATAGGACATCACGTGCTTTCGAAATCATTTGCGAATGATTTATATATGGTAGATTATAAAATTTGTATCCCCCTACTCTATTCAAATAAACAAATTGAAATCAATACATTAAGAGCTGACTTTGTAAGCTTCTTATATATATTTTCTTATATATTTATGCAAAGATTATATATCCAAATATTCTTTATTTTATACAGTATTTAAATTACTAATAAATAATTAAGATTGAAAAGTTACGTACACATTAGAGAGACAGTTTGATTACTGAATGAATTAATATACATATTAAAATAATATATGGAAGTTAAGATTACGCAAGAATTGATAAATTTAATTTTATTTGATTTAATATGTTATTTATGTTCAGGAATTTCTTTCTTTTAAATGATTCAACAAATTTTCTTGCAGAAATCCTAAAGATTGAGCAGTGTAGTGATGATTTAATTGAGGATGAAACCAATGGGATCATGTTTGGTAATTTGATCATTCAAAAGTAAAATGTTTAATACTGTAATAATTCTAAATATCTAAAATAATATGAATATTCTGATTTTGCAGATATGGACCTCTCACAAGATGAATCTTTAGTTGTGACTGACAGTGCAGCCATTGACGAAAAGAAAAGTAATTATATTTTGTATATACATTAAGAATTGTACAATCTTATTAAGTTCTTAGATATTTTTAGACAATTAAGGATGTCTTAGAACTTAAATATGATTGTACAATCTTTGATGAGGTTGATAGATTGCTTTTAATTTCTGGCAACTGTGTACTTTTTAAAACTAAATTAATTTTGAGGTACATCTTGTATGTCTTTAAATATATTCATAATTTCTGCAAATTATAAATATATTCGTAATTCCCGCAAAATTACATAATACAGTTTTGATAATATGTTTTATTTTATTTTGTTAGGCGTGGTTATTTCAATTGTAACCGATTATCAATGTGTGACATGTCAACGTATTTTCCAATCAAAGGACGTAAGTTATAAGTTTTTAAAATTATATTTTATATATCTGTTATTTCTCATGCTTTTCGTTTCTTTTAATAATTTATGTCTTATAATTCTGAGACAGATGTTGAAGAAGCATGTAGACACATGCAGAGAGGAAGATGACTCAAACAACATGCTTGATAATATAGTAAGTTACGATTCAGAAGAAGAGGAAGAGAATGAAGATGATCCACTTTTAAATGCTGAAGGTTTGTGGCTATGCATTAAAGATTATCTGTTCACTCTCACAATACAAAGAATCTTACAATCTATCTATACTTAGATTCGGATTCTAAGGGCCAAAAAAATAACAATGAAAAACCTCTCATCAAGCCCGTGCTCGAAACACAATGCCATTGCTGTGCGGAAGACTTAAAGACGGCCCATAGCGGCGGACAATACAAGTGTTCACATTGTGATCTCAGCTTCAAGAAAAAAGCATCTCTGGAAAGACACGATGTAGTCATACATTGGGTATGCGATTCGTGCACATGCAATGAATGCGGTTCTCTTTTTCGTGATAAAAAAGCTTTAAATAAGCATCGCTATACGACACACGGAGATCGCAAAATTTTTAAGTATGTTCATATCAGCATGCATTTAAGTTATTTTCATTAAATGTAAAATTATTGCTATAAAATCCGAACTCAATACTTCATAATAATTTCTCTCATTTTCTATTACAGTGTTTTTATTAATCAATCTAAGATTTATATTTTTACACAAAATTTTATTTTTAGGTGTGTTCCTTGCGACACTTATTTCTCTCGAAGCTATCACTTAAATCGACATATAATGCAATCTGGTTGTCACGGTAACATACTTAATAAATTCAGTTGTCAAGTAAGTACACGATTATTTACTGATAATTCTTTAAACTTAGAGATTATAATGATTAGAGATTCTAGAAAATTAGACATTATAATAATCGAATGAACAATGTTGTAGGTTTGCAAGAAAGACTTTACGCGTAAGGATAACTTGCGGGAACACCTGCGTACTCACGCGGGCACGCCTCAGAGACAAAAGAAGAAATGCAACTACTGCCCGAAAGAATTCTTTACGTACCAACAATTGTTGGTACACGAACGCATGCATACGGGAGAGCGACCAGTCCAATGCGATTTATGTCCGAAGACATTCCTGTCGCCGCTCGCGCTGAAAAAGCATCGTCGTGTACACACCGGAGAGAAGCCGTTTGAATGTAAATACGTAAGTATTTTTTATCAAGTTGATGCAGTTACAAGTGCAAGTATTTACACAATTCTTTACATATTTATCTTGATAATGATTAAGTATAGAAATAATAACACTAAATTTTATTGTGTCATTTTATATTACAAGCCAGCTAAACGGACATATATTTGTAAGTTTTTAATCGTCCATAAATCGGTACTGAATTGAAGAGGTTTCTAGATACATAAAATACGCGTAGGTTCTACTTTACAACAGCAATTAATTTCTATTAATGCCTTTTTACGCGAATACTAATACAAGTGTTTGCGTTGTCAGTGTCAGAGAAAATTTGCCGCTCGCGAAACGCTGAATCGTCACCTACGGACGCACACGGGTGAAAAACCACATGTGTGTCAGTACTGTGGCAAATCGTTTATTCAAGCAGCGCAATTAAGAGCACATGTGTTTCATCATACTGGAGAAAATGGTTTCTACTGTGATGTGTGCGACAAGGCATTTAATCGGAAGGCGCGTTTGAACATCCACAAGAAGTTCGTACACGAGGGAGCGATTCCATTTACGTGTGAAGTCTGCGATAAGGGTTTCACGCGAAAGGAGGACTTGATGAAACACAAACTGTTACACACTGGCATTAAACGTAAGCTATATTTATGTTATAAAAGAGAATTATTACAAAAAACAATGTATATAATATTTTTGAAATACGTCGCACACTTCACTCGTTTTATTGTATTATACATAAATTTCTTTTTGTATTACGTTTCAGCGTTCAAATGCGACAAGTGTTCAAAGGCCTTCTCGGTGAAGTCGTCGTTGCAAGCGCACCTCAACACTCACAGACGCGAACCGCCCCAGTCATGCGTTGAATGCAATAGAGTATTTATTCGACAAGATTGTCTGATGCGACATATTCGGGCGAAGCATCGGGAACTGTTGGAGGACGTAATGAACGAGGTCGAGAAGAAACATTTGCAAACGCAATTGTATAACATCGCATCGACCGCTGCTGCCAAAATGAAAACCGGCAAATCTAGAAGACTCTCCACCGATGAGTTGTTGAAAGCCATTGTAGATCTTTTGAGATTACTTATCGATGAGGAAACATTACAGGTATAATCTTACATAGTTTTATGTTTACACAACTTTATTATTACGCATGGATTACCGCGTTGTTAAGTGCTCTCAATTGCCAGATATTTAACTTTCTTTATTGCTATTATCTCGAGAGTCCAAATTTATACTTTATGTTACAGGTATAAGTCTTTTAATTTAATTTAATTTTGTTACATCTTTTAAATTAATTGTACTAATTTAATACCGGCAGCTATTTGGTTGGCCGGATGCTCCAATACAAGACGTCCTCGAGGCTGTAATTAGAAGATGCGGACATGAGCCGATGACATCGGAGACCAACATGGTGTTTACTGAGAGGCTGCGACAAAACGTCAAGCTTCTATTCACTGTCGTCGTCGACACGGTGAATGACGAAATAGTGAAATCTCTCTTGACAACGAAAACGGTGGACGATGTCATTCTTCACGTTTTAGAAATATCTAATCAAAATTAGGAACAAAAAAATATTACACAAGCGACAATCATATTTTTTTGAATACTTATGTGACCAATTTTTGAATATTTTAAGATTTATACGAACATATAAAAAACAAAAAAGGGAGTCTTGGATAACAAACTTACATCAGTTATCGAAAAACATAACTAGTAAATTGGTTTAAAAATTTTGAAGTTTAGTGCATAATTATATACGAGTTTATTATCATATATAATTTAATTATATTATAATTTAATTATAATTTAATTTTATTATAATTTAATGCGTGTCTTTTTGAATATTTTAAGGTTTATTTGCGCAAATCATTGTTAGATCGATTTATTTTCAATCAATATACAAAAAAGAGAGATTTGGATATCAAACCTATATCAGTTATCGAAAAACATAACTAGTAAATTGATTTGAAAATTTTGAAGTTTAGCATAATTATATACGAGTTTACCGTCGTATATAATTTAATTATATTATAATTTAATGCGTTTTTGAATATTTTAAGGTTTATTTGCGCAAATCATTATTAGACCGATTTATTTTCGATCAATATACATTATGTTTATTATACGTTACACATATTGCTCGATGGCTGACTTCTATTATGGTGAATTCGGTCACTCGCTCCACATTGGATTATAATATACACGTTGAAAAGGCTGCTTTATATAAAATATCTAAATGCAATGGCATAATGTAATCAACTTCGATAATGAAATAGTATATATTCTACTAAATAACATGTTATTATTTAATTATTTAAAGTATTCATATACTTTTTACATTTAATTTAAATTCTGCTATTTTCATATATATAGCAGTTTTTTGTATGCATTAATTTGGTGTTATGTGAGTGACCGAGTTTGCTATTAGATTTACAATTATTCTTATGCGAGAAATCGCGACTTTGATTATGATTTAGTGTACAAACAAAATTTATATTATCGCGCACATACAGTAAGAGCAAAAAGTATTTGTATAAGAAGATTTGTTATAAAAAAGTCTTATTTGTAGAAAATAAATATTAATTAGCAATTTTATACAATGAATATTCTGTTCTAACAAACAAACAAGCTTTGCATGTATGCTATGATGATTTTAGCTAAATGTTTCGTCTGTATGAATTCTTTTTGAACATTCAAACAATACAATTTTTAATTTTCGTTTATTTTCAGATAATTTATATTATATAATTAATACATATCTTTTTGGTATACATAATTTTAAGAAACACAGTCTATTTTATTCTTTATAAATAAATTGTTAATTATCCAACAAGGAATGTCAATTAAACGTCGAATCGACGTCAAATTGATGTTGAAATCATCGTATTTATCAATACGACATTAATGAGACATCAATACGATGACTCATTTCTCGCTGGATAATATTTACTTTTTAAACATTACTTTAAATACGAAGCGCCACTATGGTCTGAATGTTAAGATGTTGAACTATTATATATATTCATATTAAATGAATTCATTTCAGCAATTACGTGCCGATATGATTGTCGGACTTTCAACGCAATCAATCTGAAATATTAATAATCTCCTCAAATTTCCCAAATTTAATCTTAAAAAACTGTAATAAACTTATTGCAAAAAATATTGCTTCGGCCGGGAGTCGTACCCAGATCTCTTGCATTCCGTGCGAGCGTCCTACAGTTTTTTAAGATTAAATTTGGGAAATTTGGGGGGATTATTAATATTTCAGATTAATTGCGTTGAAAGTCCGACAACCATATCGGCACGCAATTATAATTTCTGAAATTAATTCATTTAAATAAAACGGTCTTATTTCTAATCTTATTATTACTTTTTAAAAGTAAAATTAAAAAAAAAATGTTTTCTCTGTACGAATACTTTTTGCACTCACTGTATGTGCCTATATACATGTATTATGTATATATTACATATATATATATATCTATATATATATATGCATTATGTTATATTTATATATACGTATTATATTTTACATGGATCACGGGTAAATAAAGTACGAGTTTAAAGTACACACGAATTTTTTTTTAATTTTAATTGTGATTAATTTTAATCTTGATTTAACTTACTCATCATCTGTTTCTAATTCTTAGAACTAGAATAGAATAAAAAGTAAGTTAACCAAGATTAAAGTTAATCGATGTTAGTAGAAACAGCATTTATCATTTAAAAAAAAAAATTAAAAAGAATAGACCGAGTAAATTATGAATTTAAAATATGTTTAAAGTACAAGTTTATAATACACGAGTTTGTTATAACGAAAACAAAAATAGGTAGACTAAGTTTAACTCGGTTTCATTTTACCCGCGCATCGCTCCGTCGCGACGTCTCCGTGGTTACTGTTCGAATTACGTCGTTGGCGGCTTGCGTGGGGGTTCGCGGCCAACTTCCGGTTGTCAGCGGGCTGCGCTTCGTCGGACAGGAGTCTCAAGCCGCTTGCGCATCGAGGATTACGTGGAGGGAACGGCAGATTCCCGAGGATTCGAGGGAACTCACATCGGATTCCATCTCCGGCGGTGAGTATGCATGCTATTCTTGTCGTCGTAGTCTACATCTTTTAGATACATCGCGAAATGTTGAATGATGGAACGGCGCGATGCGGCGCACGTTGCGTGTCAAAGCGAGACCGTATCGATTTTCCTTTGAGCGACGCAGTCGCGCAGTCACCCGATATCGCGGGCGAATCTGTAACGCGGTCAGCGGAAATAAGGTGGACGAAATATTCATGATGTTTTCGAATATTTTCTAATATTAGCACTAGCCTTTATTATAAATTTCATTTCCTAAGAAAAGAAATATTATGTCGCGAGAAATTTTATCTCGGGAGCGTCAAATGTATACGATTTGAAGTTGTCTAAGAAGGGAAGGATGTAAAAAGGCGCGTAAAATAGAGTGAATTTACGCAACAGTCTAAACTTGAAAAAAATATACTCTAAAGGTTCGTATATACATACAATTCTATGCTAATGCTCGACGCTCATTTTTAGCGTCAAAATAGGTCACGTGGTCAAAATTGACGAATATGAAACAGAAATTAGGAAATTCAGATTATCTCATTGTTTAATTTCTAATTTGCCATCAATCTTTAAGGCGCAGTCCGATATAGAAAGAAAACGCTGATTGAAACGGAACATGGCGTGATTCGAAACGCCCCGTTTCCCGCGTAACGGTAGCTCCCGTGCGCGCGCACCTCGGGCGGTCACGTGGTCCGTGGAAGGTTGACCATCGCGCCGCACTTCACTGCGCTCATTCGCGGTCTGTCGCGGTCCGAACGTGGTGGTGGTTTCGTTGTGCGTGTGCGCGCTCGGGACGTGACGTGAAACCGTTCTGTTCCGTCACTATTACGGCGTATCCAGCGGCACGTACGGGACCGTCGTCAGTGCTAGTGACAGCCGGTCACCTCCGTCGGTGCTCCAGTTGAGGAAGCCGCACCGCCAGCAGACGCCAGCCTCGCCAGGTCTATCGATCCACTTCAAGGTTAGCGAGCGTAACCAAGAGCGCGCCGGCGATTAATGACTTGCTCTCGACGGCGCCTCGCTATGAGAGAGCATTCCCCGCGAATAAGCTAATTCGTTTATATATAGAGCGTGATGCACTACCTTCCTGTGCGCCTCAAGATATCAGAGGGTCGATTGTGTATCTTCAAATGAGGTGAAAATTACAAAAGTGAGCAAATTCACTAGAGTATTCATAATTTAATTGGTCAGTATCTAGTCAGTATCTATAACCTTTTTTCATTTTTCTAATTTTTACCTCTTTTCAAAATCCACAATCGACCTCCAGGTTTGTTCGCGTTGTACTTGAAATCCCCTAAAATTTTTGTATTTAAAACGAGATAAATATGTATTCGTGCGTTGAAAAGAGAGAGAGAGAGAGAGAGAGAGAGAGAGAGAAAGTGAAGATTTTCTGAATGCAAGCAACGCGAAAGACCTATCATCTTCCCATCCTTCGGCGCCGATTTCAACGGGGCGGATACGAGAGATCGATCCGCGATAGAACGCAGTAAAGATTAATCGAGCTTCTCGTACTTACTTGACTTACTTCGTACTTAACCCTTAGTACACACAATGGGTCATTCGTGTCCCAGATTAATTTTCATCACTTTAACAAAAATTATTAAATGATTCTTATATATATATACTTTAATATCCTTAGAAAGTATTTTTAAGATTGTATATTTTTGAAAATATTGTATATAAATGTTACAACTAATTATTCGATGTTTCTAATTTTTTGAAGAAAAGAAATATGCAAGAACACTACTCTTTAAATTTCTTGGAGTGAAATCTCACTCCAGAAGAGTTAAAATACTGCCACTATTTAAAAAGAGTAAAAAATTTGCAGTCTTGAATAAGAGTGATAGATTTTCACTCTTTTTTTTTTTGGAGTGCGATTTCACATTTTTGACGTGAGATTCATTCCAGAAAAGGAAAATTTCTTTCCTTTAGAATGAATCTTACTTCAAAAAAAAAAAGAGTGAAAATCTGCCATTCTTATTCAAGAATGCAAATTTTTCACTCTTTTTCAATAGTAGCAGTATTCTAACTCTTTTTTTAGAAGTAAGACTTCAAGAAATTTAGAGAGTATGATTAGGGCGATGCAAACAGACAAATTTATTTTTGTAGTTTATGTAGTGGTCATACAATTTTTTTTCTAAAATGGAAAAATGAAAAGTGAAAATTTTTTCCATTATTTTCAATGATAAAACTTTTTATTTGTCACGTTTCTGTCTTAGTGAAAAAATTACATATCGCTATCCAAAAAGTTTATTGTGCATCTTAAAATGAGGTGAAAATTACAAAAGTGAATAAATTTTGCACAAAGTGTTGACAAATAAAATTAAATATTCTATTGAATTTGCTCACTTTTGTCATTTTCAAGCTGCATCATATAGTTATGTTTCAAGGTACATAGACCTTTTAAATTGGTAATATACACTCATTTTTTTTATTTAAAATGAAATAGATATATATTTGAAGTTGGCGAAAGCGAGAAAGAAAATTTTAACGCAGTCCAATGCAATGACAAACAAACAGGTCTAAAGTGATA